TGGAGGAGGCAGAGGATGGCGATGCTAGAGTAGCAACAGGAATATCCATGCATTAGTCATTACCCGCTTTCATTCAGACCCCCGAGGTCGAAGAGGGTGAAGTTGAAGTTGATGCTGAAGGCCGTGTAGGGGGATGAGAGGCATTGTCGTGGCGACTCGGTCGTATTAGGTTCGAATTGGAGCTGAAGTGACAGAAGCAGATGAGGCCGCCCAGGCTCAGTTCAGAACGACCAATGAGGAGCCCAAGAGACTGACGCTTGCTGACATCATAGAACAGAAGGTAGTATCTATCAATGCTGTGCTTATTCGCGGGAGATTGGTATGCCCAGCTGCGAGAACGAGAGGCTGGCTCGGGTGGTGGAGTGTCGAAGGTCCAGTCAAATGAAGAGGATGCCAGTGAGGCCATTAACCCACAGGTTGTGAGAGTGTAAGAACGAACCACATGGTGTTCCCCATGTTAGAGCCTTGTCTTGGTCAGGTACTCAGATATTGGTAAATGGCTGAGTACGTATAAGTCTGGTAAGATACCCAAGGCTTTCAAGATCATCCCGAGCCTCATCAACTGGGAGGAGGTAGTCCTTTGGTATCCTCTTGAATGGGACGTGGGCGTGTAGGTATTGTTCATAACGAATCCTGTCGAATGGACTCCTGCTGCTACTCGAGAGGCAACTAAGATATTCGTCTCTAGTCTCAGCCCAAAGCAAGCTCAGAGATACCTTAATTTGGTATGGTGTCACCACACTTGTATTGTGCATCTCATTTCGGTGCTAGGTACTCCTACCGGCTGTTCGAGAGGACATAGCTGTGAATAAGAAACTCAATTTCCACTACTATGAGGCCCTCAAGGTGGGTAGCTCTCCCCTTCCAACTGCTCATTAGTCTTGTGTAACCTAGGCGGCCACGTTCAAGCCGGCGGCGTGGTTCAAGGGCATCTTCCTGCCGCTCATACTTTGCCCTACTTGCACCATCAGGGAGGCAGTCATAGTCTGCAGTGTAGTATGGATACTGAGATCGACTCGGGCGCTCCTCAGATTGTTGTTCGCTTGCATCGGCCCGCTTAGAGGAGTGTTCACTCGTTGTTGGAGTGCATAATTTGACTGATATAGGTGTTGGCAAAATGCTCCTTGCCGGTTCTCCACTCTGCGGCAGCCTTGGTCAGACTGTGTCAACTCACTGGCCTCTCCTGGCCTGGTCCTACTGCGAGTATTGCTATAAGGACCATCATTAACAAGAAGTGGGTGCTGAGAGATCCTCGTACAACTATTGCTTGCTTTATTAGGTACTCCCTGCCCAAGAGGGCTGTCAGTGCCGTTGTTGATCATTATAAGGGATTCATACCAGATCAAAGGGAAATGCCTGTTCTATGGCATCAGTCGCTTCTAGCTTTTGTGCAGAGGTCGGTCTATATGTCCTATTGCCTGCTGACATCTCTGCAATTATCAGGTACAAGCACGAGCTGTCACAGTCGGAGATTCGAACGCTGAAGGCGGTTATGAAGGCGCACCCTCACAAGGAGGTATCATCTATGATTATTCTCATTGTAGAATTGAGACTGTGTTTCCATTTGAGCCCATACACCGATTCTTCACTGTGCGTCAGTTCAGGGCTGATTTCTCTTCGCAGATAACGATTGAGATTCGGCGCGAGCTCGCAGCCGCTGAGGATGGGAAGATGCTCTACGGATCAGCCCCAGCTGGAGGTAGCTCGACAGGGACTTGACTTCATGATTAAAAAGTATCTCATAGGTGCATCAAATGACCCTTTCCCATCGCTGAGGCAGTTCACTGCTTCCGCTGCAATGGATCTCAGCTGAGCTCCCTGACTGATAATCCTTCCGGGAGGTTACCAAACGTTACTGTCTTTCCTGTATCGTTGTCCTTGTTGCGTTTCGAGATAGTCAAGGGCATGAGTGATGGGGATGAGCAGTACTGATCGCTTGCGGAACTTCACATAATGGTGAAGTGAGGAGAATAACATTTTGACACTACGAAATTCAATGCGGGCGGATTCGATATCGTAGTGTACGTACGTTCGATGGTCATACTCGTCGTCGAGCGTTCGAAATTTGACGCGCCGCCATGGTTCACTCTGTGACGACTAATTACGATTGATAGCTGGATGTCTGTATTTTGCGAGGCTAAACCTCTCACCATCCACTGACAGATGTACTGTAATGACAACTCAAACTCCTATCGATGTAACAGTGAAGCTTCAATCGAGGGTTGATCTTGATCAGAGTATTTTTAACTTGATCAAGTATAATAAGAGCTTCATTTAAAGAGTACTTGGCAGCTTGTATGAATACGATCGTCGTAGAGACGAAAATAACAAAGGTACAATAATGACCACAATGAGCCAGATCAAAGCCTCACTTGTCTGACTGCCGATTGGGCCTTGGCGGAGGAGGTGAAAGTTGGAATTGTAACCGCATACCAATCGCGTCAAATTATTATACAGAACAAAACACAGTCCGAAAACGACCATAAGAGCCCACTCGCCGATCCTCTTGAATATCGGGGCATTGGCAAGTCTGTCTCCTAAGACGAGCATCAAGGGAGCGCGGAAGCACAACATTAAGAAAGGCGTCACGCTGCTGCGCAGTTCCCATAATGCCACCTCCATAGGAGCAGGAAGCACAGGAGTTACACCTTGGGCATAGATCGGGATGAGAAAAGACTCCTTCTCTTTAGTTGGACGGAAAATGATCGGGATAGTTGCTATCTTAGCGACGATTAATGGGATGTGCAGAGCAAGCATAGCTCGCAACACATTACCCGAGAATAACCAGTTAGGACAATGCTCGTTCTCGCTTTTGCCCAACCATAGAGATCTCACAACCGCTTCAAACTTCTCACTAGACCCATACATGTCAGCAATCAACCGCTTGAGACTAGAGCGATCGACTGATGAGGAGCACTTAGCCCGACGGATGGTGAAAGACTTCAATCTAGCACAGCACTTCTGCCATACCTTGCCACAAGCAAGTGCTTGGTAATCCACAAGCAGTGTTGTGGATGTACCCAACACATATACGACATTAGGTGAGTATGGACTAAAGGGAAGGACAGCAAGCATGACCGCAACGTTCAGAAGCTGCAGAAGCATCATTGCCGTACATCGCTTGAGTTGATCAAGATTGACAAGAATCACGTCTTCCTCACCGTGATTCTGGAGAAAAACAGCCAGTTCATAGACACACCAGAGACGATCAAGGTAATCGGGAGACCAGAGGATGATTAGCTTTTTAGAAGCATGGAGATACTCAGCCAGTCTCGCTATACCAGACGACTTGGCGACGGGGTCCTTCTGTGGGATACAACACTTGTCGAGAAATACTACAGTTTTCCGATGTTGCAACAAGGGGACGATGAAGACCGTAACCAAAAACGCTATGAAGCCGCAGGCTAGGACGATTGCCATCAATTCGTTACAACGTGACCTATAGAAGGCCCATGCCCCAAGCACAGATGCAACAAGAGTGATGCTGATAGTGTAATTGGAACACCAACAGATGAACAAAGCCATCTGTTTCCAACCTCCACTAGCAGACCATGAGTGGCTCAAGAAGAAATCAATAGAGTCCACGGACTTCGACACATCAAAGGCGTCTACATGACTCTCATAGTTACGGAGGAAGCTTCGGTCCAGTAGTATGGTAGAGAGAGGACACCCTTGTAAACGAGCATGTTCTTGTGCCTCTTGGGCCCCTGTACAGAGGCTACCGACGTCATCGCAGAGACGATCGGGCATTCCCAATAAAACAACAAGAGGTCTTGCAGACTCAACTGCTCAAAAAACTAAAGGGGACTGATGATGACCGTATCAATTGCAATAGACGTGCAGGTTAAGTTGTTCACTAACAGAACTCGAGAACCTGAACTCAAGCCAATGTCACAGTAGTCATAGCTCAAAGGTTGAATATATAACATGTACGCACTGCTATGGGAATCGAAACTCGGACGCCGGAGCATCGGCCAACATAGATTAGCTCGGCCTGAGTGAGCCGGACTAAGCGGTTTAGGAAAAGCAGACGGAATCATGAACTCCAGTACGACCTATTTATCACCACTATGGTGAACACCTATGGTGGATTTGTATGTATCAGCTACCAGCCATTACAGGCTAATAGGCCGATCGCCCTTGAATTCATAGTAGCCGACTCCTTGTGATCTCGAAAAGGCTCGAGGACTATTCTGCATGGGTGGAATAACGCGAAAACGTAGAATCGATTTAACAAGAGGTATCATACGAAAGAAACACTTCGTCTCGAACAAGGCGGAATGTTGTCAGACAAGCACAGCACGTGGATGAAACTACGAACAGAAAAATGCGACATGGAGAATCCCATTCGCCATTGGCGAACCAATATCGGCTACTCAATCCCGTCACGGTCTGCAATGTGAAACAGAGACGGCTTTGAATGTATCCCCGTCACTTGTGAGTTTCTGCTCACTCGCGCGCCATGTGGTGACGCCTAGTGACGCGTGAGCGATCGGTCCCGGTCATTGTGCTCATGTCCACGAGGCATCGTTTGGCCAGTCTTCTCTTGCTTCGGAATAAGAGTCATATCATATGACCCAACACTATTCCATATAGCCTATCACTGACCACCTTCTGATGCCCAACTCATACCCATTTGAGACCCCTTCTTCGTGACGAGACGCGATGAAGTTGTCATTGTTCATTCCCGGTTTTGACTTCGCCGGCGCTGCACACGTGAAACATTTCCCATCAGTTCCTCCAAAGCTGGATGAGATGATCAACCCTATAGTGTCCGAACGCAGTGCAGTGGAACCCCTCGACAGCTACTGATGTAGTGACTCTACAGTGCTAGAAACCTGTTCCGGGATTTGGGATCGTCTGTCCGTGTCACCTCCATCATGGACAGAGACTAATGATCGGTGATTCTACTGTGGTGCTTAGGCTTGTCAACACAACTGGGTGGAGCCGTAGGTTGAGAGAGAGGGACGACTCCAGAGAGCGGTAAGCGATACAGTGGCGACCAGCTACACCATCATCATCACTTAGTTGCACACATTTAATATAGCACACATTGTTGGGAAATATGCGCTTGGTCGACGACATGTGTTGGTGAGAATTTGGGAGGTTCTTGTTGGTTCATGGGCACTTCTACCCGAATTCGCATATGAATTTCTACATAAGTGGAGAAATTCCGGAGCCCAGCTGAGGAAAGCGATCATATTTTCCAACATTGATAGCACACGAGCACGAGGACCACGCAACTTTCCCTTACAGAGTGTACGGGTCGGCTTAGCCGTTGTGTCGAGGCATGATGGACAAATTCAGAAGTAGCCTCTGAGCTAATTTCACCTGTGACGAAGCCTGAGTGTTCAGCCCCAGAGCAGACGGAGTTCGGTGATGTTCTCTCTAGTTATAGGTCACCGTCTAGACGATTCCACGCGCATGGGCTCGTTGGACCCGCATCATTCGTTAAGAATACTTCTTGTTGTTGCTATATACCACTAGAGTTAGTAGCCAGATATAGTCCAGCCTTAGGTATACCACGCAAACTTGGGAAGTAATCAGTTAGTTCTTTGTCAGTCGCCCCTTCATTGTGCTCGTCGATACCTTCACTAACTACGAAGATGTTAATAGATTAACTATGAGAACGATCAGGAACAACATAGCAGCTATCACACCCGCCATATCAAATGATAAGACAGATTCTGGATCGAGTTAGCAACTCCTGTAGCTGTGATATTTGCGGAGTTGGACCGATGGTCACTAGCCTACATCGCAAACAACGGAGGTAGTGCAGTCTCTGCCACGGGTCAATTGACCTCCTTGAAAACGCAACTATCCTCAGGGATATTCTGGACTAAAGGTTGTTGAATCCTAAAACCAATACGTTTGAAATTTCAACGAAAACGGTAGCGAAGAGAAAACGCTTACCGGAATAAATTGCGCGATTTTTCATCGCAAATACTGTACTTGAGAGTCGTCTCACAGACGTGGAAAATGTTCAAGGACTATAAATGATAAACCATGGGAACCACAGGTGCCGTAGCACTGGAACCCGGTAAACAACATGAGTAATACAAATCAGCCGAGCAAGTTGTGGAGTCTCCCTGCTCTTGTAGCAGTTCCGGAGTAGAAGAGTCAACAGTAACTTCGCTAGCAACGGTAGAAAACTCCGAAGGTGCATACTCGGTGGAGCGATCGATATCGCGTAGTAATCTTGAAATGAGGGAATCTGTCGCCTTAGAGCTGGTCATCGCAGTGTCAACAGATGCACCGTTGTAGCCTTCCTTATGGCGATAACATAACCCAGTTCTGCCTCTCGCAGCGGTGTGACATCCTGGATAGGTACAACGTTTCCCACCGCCGTGACGGATGCAGTACCTAAGTTCAATTTCAGCATAATGATAATACAAATTAATCATAGATACATAACAGCATCCATGATGCATTCGGATAATGCTGAAATGATATATTGCGTTTCCACCGCAGCTTACTTGCCTTCACCTCCTTTCCTCGACGTAGCCTTGCACCCCGGAAACTCGCATGCTCGAGCTCCTCCATGCTTAACGCAAAATCGGGTACCTAGACCAGTCCAGCTAACCATGCCTCTCACAGTGTGATCAACAACTGACCATTCTGGCGATACTTCAGACAACCTCCAACGAACGCGCAACGCCATCGCTTCGCGGCTCCTCGTCCTGTAGGCCCTGCCACCTCCGACGCCATAAGCACAAGGGATAGCCACCGATTGGCTTATAATACTAATAGGGATGTTTGAAGTTGTTGTCTTTGAGTTACACCCAACTGGAAAACGCGACAATACCATGCAGAGAGATACAATGGACGAGACACTCCTGGATAGTCCGATGAATTAGATATGAGCCGACAAAAGGGCAGCTATAGTGAGCAGCATATTTTAGCCGACATAGTGGATGAAACAGTACGAGGAGACCCGAATACAGGAGATAAGGACGGGGTCATCATCATACACACTCGTAAATCCCTGGAGTAGCAGGAGGTCTCTGTCCGAAACCTCTACGCTCATTGGCCAACCATTAATGCACGACGGTAAGCGAAGGTTCAACTGGGTGTGGTATTCACCAAAACGACTCCTTTGGTGGGAATAACTTCAGTTGAACAACTTCTGGAGATCGAACGTATGATGCCAATAGGCCAACCCCTGTTGAAAGTAAAGACGTGTGAGAACGTGAGACAAGGTAATACGATACGCTACGAGAAGACTTGAAAAAATACTAGTGTGAATCGCAAGTACAAAGCACAGCAAAGGCGAACTACAGCCGACTCCAATCCCGATCCGAGACCAGGGACGAGCCCGCAGAGTGAGCATCAGAAAAGATAAAGTTTGTCAGAAGCATCAGAATTAATGTGATTTGTGAGCAACTCAGGCAGAGGCTCCAACGGCTCCACAAAACTTGTCCATTTCTCGTCACTGAGTGCCATGAAATCGAGGGACGCCAAGTTGGTCTGACACTCTCCAGTGGCTGGTTGAGCTTCCCAACAGGTCGCATCCAAATACGATGATGCTAGATCGATCGAAAAGTCAACGACATCGCCACCCGAGACCTCCTCAGCTGAGCCAACAGGAGTAAGCTGAGAGGCCTGATCGAGCTCCGAGCCAGAGGCAGTCGACGCTGTCGAATCCTTTCTGGATATCGCACTGGTCAGGTTCCGATGCTTATAGCAGTAACCTGTAGAGCCTCTAGCGGAGACTCCACACCCTGGTACGCGGCAGGACTTGCCGCCACCATGCCGAATACAGAACCTACAATGTGAACACTTCGATAACGAACCATGAGCAGTGAACTCACATGGCCTTAGTAGTGTCACCTCGTTTAGCAGCGTTCGGACATCCAGGCATGGCACATCGACGTACCCCGCCATGCTTCACGCAGAACCTTGTCCCTGAATACAACCAGCACTGAGCGACCGGCACACAATGTGCTAGGCTCACCATTTTGTCGGTATTTGTTGCAGCCCAAGGGATAAGCGCATTTGCCCTTACCATTCGAGGGCCTTTTCGTCTTAGGCGATCCCTTACTACTACAACTAGCTCGGGATCGTGGACTCATGCTGCGAGAGCTGCCCGGCATGTCTTCCTGTGCTACTAAATCAACCGCCAACGTATTAGAGTATTTGGCGGCTTCAATGGCAATGTTTGGATTCAGGGATAGCGGTACAGGGACAGGACTTTCCATTATGGGCGTTTCTTCGGATTCAATAGGCACTGCCGCGGTGGAGAAAAGCAGGTTCGAACTAGCTTGATAGAACCCACCCTGAGAAGAGGTCCATGACTCATCATCAGCCCGTAGAGATAACTACGTTCGTAAAGCCTTCCGCTGGCACCATCGTCGCCTGCAGCTCCTGTTGTTGTACGTCTTGTAGTTGGCCCTCAGGCAGCAGAGACAACTCGAGCGGTGGCAACGATGAAGTAAAAATTTTGGTAAAGTTATTAAACTGCGACTGAGTACCAGCCCATCGATCTCACCGTACCATCCAACGTGTACCAAAGGCTACGTGGAAGGGCCGCAGCTTGAGCCCTCGTCGAGGCCACGACCAATTACTGCTAGTAGAAGAGTACAATCGATCAGAATGGCAAGCGCGACTCTCATCCAAGAGATCCCTGGTTCGATCCCGGCCAGTGGCTTTTCTAACAGGCACTAACCACACACCCTCATTCCCATCTCCCACTGCGGCACTGAGCTGACGCGGGTACGGATAGAAACGTTATGGACAGTATAGCCGGCGTATAAACTGAAGGACTACATTCACTCGTCCACTATAGCTTGGCCAGCCAGGATCTATAAAAACATATCATAACTGCCACACCCCAATCTCCAGAGCCTACCGAGCGCTGATTGTTGAAGTGCGGTCTGAGCACCCATTCCGTCTTCACATCAGGCATATCCAGAGTGCCCAGCTCGAGACGATAGAGTTGCATGTTGAACCGAGGACCCTGAATGTCGTGATAGGGCTAGCCGCTACATCACAAGCTGAGGTGTTCACCTGTTCATATAGCTTCACATCTTCCGCCTTGACATCAGCTCTATTCTTAGTGGCCTTGGTGGGCTTTTCGAAAGTGTGATGACGGAAGCCGATGCAGTCACCACCGTCATTGGCGAATGTGATAGTTCGTGTGCCTAGCAGAAACCCACATACCACCGACCCGCACAGGTTCGATCCCGCACGACGGCTATTCTTACTATCGGGCTTGGACGGGGGGAACAGTGCCGATAGGACTGTCTGTACTCGGGTACCTTAAGCTATATCTATCAGGCGAAATAGTCTACTACCCAAATCTATTACCGATATTCCCACCGAAATTGTGGAAGATGAGATGGGGATACGTCTCGGGCATATTCGGCGGCTTTTCCGGAAGATCATGTCGCAATACCTACGACAACTTTCCTCGGTCGTGATTTGAGACTGCTAGCTATAGCAACAGCGAGAGAACTCGGGAAATACCGTTACTGCTGACAGTGGCACTTGAGGGGAGTAAGTAACGGCGCTCAGATACTTATAGCGATGGGTGAAAGCTTCGCGAGATTATAGCAAAACGATCAATGCCGCAGCCTACCGCCAGAGTAAACTTCAAGTAGGAGTGGTAGCAAATTAAGAAACAGCAGTGATAGTGTAATATGTATTCCCGTTAAGAGTTTATGTTGTTATTACCACGTCCGAGAGGCCGAAGTAAGCCGTAGGGCCGTAAGGTAGATGCGAGACGATGAGTCCATCCGGCTGACCTCGGTGCTCATGTACAATAACCTGCAGCCATCAATGATACGATAAACTGCTTATCCTCACTTCCCCACCATATCGCTGATGTCGTTCTTCCTGCATAAGTCCACCAAGTCCTTCATAACGTACGTGCCTCGGTTGATCCGCTGACTGTTGGGTATGAGCAGCCTCACCTCCTTCACGAACTTCCCCAACCTGATCCGCCATCATCATCATCACCAGCCCCTGTCGGCGAGCCCCCTACCTCGAGCTGGGATTACGACTGGTAGTGACCAGAACCCTCGGCTCACGAACACCAAGGTATTGGTATTCATCATCGATGGCCAGCCTTTGCACCTAGGGTCAACAGAATGAGCAACACTAACAACGATATAAAGTCTCGAGTTACTGCGATCAGCGATGTGCTCCGAACCGTTCACACTAGATCTAACACAGCGAGCTTATACATTCCCTTCCACCGATACACGCATCGACCAAGCTCATTCGAACGCGCACTTCGGCAACGACGACGACAAAGATTGTTAGTCAGAGTGGATTTCCCGTGCGGTATGTGATTCGCCGAAGAGAACACGTCGTTCGAATATTCAGGTAGTGAAGTGAAACCCTAGCCAGCGTTAGTAAGACCTTAGTTCTGTCGTCCTCCAAGTCAAGAGTCGTCCGCAACTTCGTATCTCCTCTTAGCTCAGTCGGCACCGACTTGTTCTGTTCCAGAGCCTCTCTCAGCTTCCGCTTCTTCTCCAGAGTAGTACCTTGAGCCACATCACTTCGCGCCGGTCCCCACACCAGCAAAGGCTCACGTTCCTTCTCCTCCAAGGCTTTCTTGTATAAGTACTCTTTTCTCAGTCGCACGTTACGTCGGAGCATCGAATCAATGAACAGCTGCTGAAACTTATTTCCAATATTGCCCTCTCAACTCGAACACAGCGTTCAAACAACAACAACAACAACAACATCATCAGACTTAGACTTTCTCATGATCTTTGCGAGCCCCTCGGGCTTCCCAAACTGGAGGATTGTATTTGATACCCATCCATCGTCGAGGAAGGCTATGACTGGTTACCATGCAGTGAGGCTCCTCCGTACGCCAAAACCTAAATGGAGAGCCCAGGAATTGAACCTTCGACCTCCCCTGCGTGGTATTACCGCGGACACGAAACGCCGAACTTGGACACCCCCTCATAAGGCACCGGATAGCCGCTGTACATTCCGGCTGGTGCTACCGCCCCCATGTCCACACTGTGGCTTCTCCTTAGGTGCCGCGGCGCGTCCAGCCTTGCCTGGAGTCAGAGAGCCTCCATGATCAGACAGCACATCACTACCCTCCCGTTCCTCTGCCTAAGCCTTGCTGCTCCCTCTAGACCTCCTCAGCATACCAGTCGGTCGTGGGATACGCCTTGA